CTGCTTGTCCCAGCTCTCAGAGGCTCAGCTGTGCTATGTTCTGCTCACCACAGATGTTCTCTTCCAGGTGCCTCTCCTGGCACATGAAAGAACCACAGAGCATGGGTTTCACTCAGCTACTCAGGCACTTGTCTCTCAATTAAAACACAGGTGCAGAACAGAGCAAAATAGCCCAGTACAGCATTGCTCCTCTCAAATGGTGGGAAACTTCTGCCTGTGGCCACATCTTTCAGCTATAAGCTTTTTTTTTTTTTTTTGAGAGACATGCACTGGCAGAGGAGAAGCACACCACTCCTCCCATTGTTGCTCTTCAGTTTTGCCCAAATTTTGTAAAGGCAGTGGCCTTCTCATCCACCAAGGCTTTTGGGCACAGGGAAGGATGTTGTTTCTCCCCCTCAATCCTACCCTCACAATATTCTTTATAGCTCAGTGATTTGGCACCAGCAGAAAGGAGTTGGCTTGAGAATCCTCTCAGACAGAGAAGAGATCAAAATCCCTGCCTTATATTCCACAAGAAGGTGTCTAGGCATGGAGCTACTGTATACTGATGGCTTTCAGCCATTTTATTATAAGACAAACCTCTTTCCACAAACACTTAATTCTCCCCCTGGAATAGCAAGTTAGCCCAGGATGACAAGCCAACATATTGGCCCCACAACTGGGGAGTTAAGTCTCCAGATTTGATGCTGAGCCATGTGAACAAGGTCTTGGCTGGGAGAAGCACCTTGCAGCCTATCATTTAGCCAGCATGGCATTGATGGCGTGTGCTGTGCTGTCACCAAACTGAGAGCACCACTAGGAAATTGCTAGTAAAAACTAAAGCACCTCTAGGCCAATGGATATTGTGGCAGTTTTCAATTAAATGTGCCTTCAGGTAGGATTGAGTTGTCTTTGTGGCAGTAGTCATTGTCTAGGATTATTGTCATTGTCTAGACTCTAAGAGCAGAAAGAGAGCTGCATTACCATGATGCTCTGTGTGGGCTTATGAGCTTTTCCATGCAATAGAATGCACCTGCCCCAGCATGGTACCACCTAAAGCAGCCCCAACATGAAGCTGGCTCACAGCCAGCCAGCCCTGGGAGCAGCACCTGTCTCAGCTCCCTGGCTGGTTGCCCCTGCACTGGTGGCACAGAAGCTACCCAATACATTCTCTCCTGTCACTCAGCAGCTCTGTGCAATGCTCAAGAGTTTTACCAGTCTCCAATAATGTTCACACCCCACAGAAATACAATTCTGGAAGGGGAACAGACCAGAGCAGTAACAGTAGCAGACCAGGCAGGCACAGTAACACAATTCTGGAAGGGGAACAGACCAGAGCATATGGGCAGGCACAGTAAGTGATGTTTTCTCCTCTTTATTTCAGATAATTCCCAAAGATGTGTCTAAGTCCAGTGTTTGTGAAATGTTATGCCATGAACAACACTGACTGGGCACACATGGGGTGAAACAGTGCTTTAATCTAGGGAAGCTGAGCCTCACTGCAACCCCAGCTACTCCAAGCAGCCACCAGCCCACAGCAGTTCCTCCCTTCCCTGCCCAAGCATGGGCCATTTCACTGCATGACAGCACAGGCTCCAAACACAAAACTCTCACTGTGATTGGTCATTCTTTCTCCTGTAACTGTGTCAGCATGGCCCTGTCTATTCTGCCATTGACAGAGACAACCAGACTAGTACAGAAGGATCTACAGCAGTGAAAACGAGATAAAACTTTAAGGATCAGATGAATGGCTACCACCTACCTCTGGCCATGTTCCCATTTTCATTGGCTTGGCATACTCTTTAATGCCATGTAAAGCTGTGTTAACTGAGGCAGGAGGCTGCCTGTATTACTCTGGCTGCTGTTGCAAGGGTACAAGCCAAGAGAGCAACCTTCCTGGAGAGGAGCAGGAGGGTTGTCATGCTAGGAAACAAAATTATGCTTCTGAACCACAAAACTGCTGAAGTGTTGAAACCAGTGTGATCCAACCACTGGGCAGCAGCAGCACTTGAGCCTGCTGTATTAGACACCCCAGGTACCTGTGGTCTGTAAGCACCAAGGTTTTTTGCTTTAGCCAGGAATGTTTGCTGAGTGGCACACCCAGCAGTTCCATCCCTCCACTGCCAGTTCAAATGCAGTTCTCACCTCAGCCTCAGTCCCTCAGCACCACTCACGCTCATTGCCCTGATGCTGATAGACCCAAACAGCCAACACGTGCTCCCAGGCTGTAGAGCCGAGGGTGAAGGCAGCAAAGCTTTGCCAGGTGGCTCTGTACAAAAAGGATACATGTGCCTGTGTAAATGCTCCATCGTAAACAGAGCTGTAGTGATATGAGCAAGCCAGACCAGCTGCTGCAGCAACCAGGTACACTGCTCTCATTATGCTGACACTGCCAGAGCAACAAACCCCTCTGTGAACCAAGGGCTTATCTAGAAAAGGTGCTTACAGGGATTAGGACTTCATTCCTGTTTCGCAGTCAGACAAGCTCTGCCCTTGACTTCAGAGGCTTGGGAGGTTGCGCTGGGCCAAGGACAGGTTGGGAGGGTTTGGACTGTGACCCTCATGACAAAATCAATAGTGCTCACGTGGCTAGGGCCACTGTGTAAATCAGTGGCTTGTCAGTCGTGGGGACTGGTCTTCTGAAACAAAAAACATCACAACAAGAGATATAGATGACCTCCTCCAGCTTGTCTTAAATCATTCTGAAAAGTTAATGTATCTTAAAAGAGATACAGAATTTCCAGATTTTTTTAGTACCTGTTAAAAGATTACTAAGAATCATATACATTAAATACATTAGAGAAATATATTTGATTGAGCCAAATGTATCAAGGGGCTGCAAAGATTTTTAACTCCTCCTCCTGCTGCTAAGTTTGGGACTCTTTTGATTTTAAAAGCAAATAACCTTGCAGAGAAACTAATTCAGGAAGGCAGCTTCGCTAAGCACTTTTTGGGGAGAATTCATGCAAAGAGCTGACTAAATGTGCAACCAGACAATATATAGTCAGTGACAGGCACAGGTGAATTACCTGGCAGTCTCTTTCACTCTGACATGTGGAAATCAGATCTGTCAGCAGTTATTTTTAGTAGACATGGGGTCATGAAGGACTCACCACAAAGTTTTTGTATGATTTCACTTACCAATACTTAATAATATCTGTATCAAACTTTGAGGCGATGCAACTTCTGCAATTTGTGCAAATGAGGATCATAAGTATACAATTCCTGCAAGCAGGAGTTGGTTGTTACAGCAAAGCTAGAGGTCACAATTAATGTGTTTTGTGTAAAACTAGGAAGCAGCTGGCTTGGCTTTCATAACAGTTACCACAACAAAGTTGCAATGGAAGGGGCAAGCAGAGACACACATCCAGGCTGAGAACCCTTTATCCAAATCACAGCACACACTGTTCCCAAGACAGGCCTGTCCAGAAACCAACTTTGGCAGCTGCTGTGTCAAGTGTCAAGAAAGGGATTGTGCACACAACATAACCTAATCAGAGGCCGAAATAAGATACATAATATACAAAAACTCATATCTGTTGCTGTTGATCTACCTGAAGTACAAACATCAACATGCAAAATTGCTGGTTAGACTTATATTAGACTGTCCAGCCCCTCTTGTTTAATAAGGGTTCACATTCCCTAGGAGTCGTGCAGGTGTGACTGCAGTGAGGAGATGGCCCTCAATGGGTGGATGTTCATCTGCCTTCGTGAGTTTTCCTTATTGTGATGGCAGAGAAATTGGCAGAACTGAGATGCCTGGACCAAATACTGCCTTTTTCACTTTTCACCTAGTCAGCAGTGCCACTGGAGTGGAGATCCCTTTCCAGACCAGCTGGGGAAATTCGTTGTTCCTCAATAAGGCAGGTGACCAGCCTGCAGAGGTGTGCAATAGTGCCTTTTGCGCCACCCTTCACTTTGAGCTTTGGGTGCTGGGAGCTGGACAGAAGACAAAAGCATGGATGAAGATGTGGTCCTTCATCACAGCAGGTTTTAATTGGTGTTCCCAATGTCCAAATGCTGCAACTAGGGACAGTACACAGAATATTGTGTTATACTGAGTTATAACCAGCTCTCCAAGCATCTGTCACCCAACAGACCTTGTTTACAGAAAAGAACTTGACCCAGTAGAATGTGCATGGACTTGCAGAAGATGAGATTAGATTAGAACTTTAACTAATATAAATATTAGTCAAGAGTCCTTAAGAGATTAAAAAAATAGCCCAAGAGATAGCTACATGTAATTATGCTTATTGTCAGAAATGGGGTACATCCAGAACAGACTTGGGTGCAAGGGCCAGTAAAGAACCAGTAGTACAAACACTACTGCTTTCTCATCTCTGCAACTTGAGTAACTGTTCTTTTTTCCCACTTAACTTTAAAAAGTCTCTCTCTCATTGCCTAGAATTTGAAGTGGTTTTCTAGGAATACAGACAGAGGAATTGTCCTCATGGTATTAGCTCATAGGCAATCTTTTTGTCTAGAAAACTCATCAGAAGGGATAACTTACACTAATCCTACAGTGGAACCTACAAATTGCTCAATATGGAGAAGGAAATGTGTATCTGTACTCTGTGGAGTAGACAACAGACTTTGAAAAGCAGAAGTCTTGATACCTTAGCAAATTGTGAGGTAAGATTTAATCCCCAATTTTCTGTAGAGGTGTGTATGCCTCCCCAGTTTATTTTAGGGGAGAGCCAAGGAGCATACCATTGGCTCTCCTAACCACTCAGCTTACAATATATATAAAAGTATTTCACTGGGCTGGAGCGCAGTTCTCTGGTCCCTGGAAGGTTTCACAGTCATTCCCAGCCATGCACAGAGACACAGCTATGGAAGGCCCTTCCTGGAAGAGCACAGCTGAAGTTCAAAGAGTCACCCAAAAAAATCCTGAATGCACTGACTGTTAGCAGTTAGGACCTGATTCAAATCAACCCATTAAAAAAAAAAAAAAAAAGAAAAAGCAAAAAAAGAAAGATTCAATTCTATCTAAACAGAGAGGCAGTGTCTGAGGAGCTCACCAGGTAGACGTCTGCAGGAAAAGAGACAGCAGGAAATGGTGCCTTAGAGGGCTGTGAGCAAGATCCAGAGGTCCTTGAGCCTGTACTTCCCTGGGCTCTCTCCCTGGGATGGCAGTGGGAGGATACAGAGAGCTCATACTGCTTTATACTGAAGTATTAGTCTGGTAATGGCTTTTGAAAACATCGATTTGGCAGAATGATGGGGTTTTATTTCCATTTTCACAGAAACCAGGATACTGCTCTTACAGCTTTCATGGTTGTTTTGGTTTTTTTTCCTTCAGCAACAGCTTATCCTTCAAAAAATCAAAGAAAAAAAAATATTCCATCATTTTGACCACAGAAGAAATTTTTCAGCTGACAGAAAAAAGACATAAATTTCCAAGTTTTCTTTAACACAACCTTCCTCCCCCTCTTTCACATCACCTCTCCCACCGACAATGGACACCATGATTTGAACAGCTTGTGAAAATCACACAGGCTGTGACAACACATCCTGAGGTTTGCAACACTGCCTGCATGAGGCTGATGTGACTGAATCTGGTTTTCAGGAGACAGGGTCACGGCCAGTCGTGCAGCCTTGGAGGAAGCATAGCCCCAAGACTGCTCTTGCCACTTCCCCTGGCAGGTTTGGTGGCAGTCTTCATGATGTCTCCCAGCTTCCTCCAGGGCATCCAGAAGCCCTTGGAAGATTCCTTTCAAGCGCAGGAGACAGAGCATGACTTAATTCTTATATGTTGGGTGAATTAATTCCCGACCTGTTCCCTGCACTGCAGTGATGCTACAGGTGCTTTTTTTCTGGCAAAGGGGCAGATTCTTCATGCAGGCAGATCTTACAGAATAAGAAGAAAACAGAAGTTTTTCAGAGCAGAGGAATGGGACTTGCCAAAAAGGAAGAAAATTAAGGCTTATCAAACTCCAGAGTGAAATAACACTATTTGCTTAAGCATTTTTATGTCACCTTTTTTTTTTTTTTTTTTTGCCCCTAACACAGAGTTAGCAAAATGAAACAGCTCATGATTATAAGGCTTTGGCTTGCAAATCTGTCTTTTAGCGATGTGATGGTTTTCTCCAGATTTTGGGGCAAAGGACTTTTAAATAAATATTGCTATTACACTGCAATGACACACATTACATGCCTTCCCCTCACTCAACGCAAATCAGTCACTGAAATAATATCTGATACACTGATTCTATGTGAAAACTGTAATGATGTACCTCTACATTTATCCTTGTGTGTGAGCATACCTGTGCCAGCAGCTCCTCTTTGGGAAGCCCCTGGGACCACTCCACCTGTACTAGTTATTACCTGGCGTCTCCAAGGATTCCTCAAAATGAACGTGGCTGGCAGAATACCAAGTGTTGGCAGTACTGAGGAAGAGAAAAGGACAAGGTGAAAGGGCAGAACAGGTATTAATCCTTTCTGCTGAAGTGGGTCTTTTTCCATGGCCACTTCTCAGTTGAACTATCTAATCTGTGGTTTCTACAAATGGAGATTGAGCAAATTATCTTTTGCTCTAAGAGCAAGGCGCTAAGATTTGAATCAATTCTTAAGGGAACTTAGAGCAGGGACACCCAGACTTGTGCAAGCTGGAGAAGAGGGAGGATTTTGAAGGACTGAAACCAGTCACCTGCCACAACAGGATATATTGCACCAGTCAGACCTAGAGGGAGAGCAAATTCCCCACTGGATTTGCACCTTTTCATAATATCCTTCCACAAAGGCCCCATCATGGCAGGATCCCCAGCCTCCAAAAGCCCTTGCCCCAGGTTGGAACACAACCTGAGAGGCAAGAGCCAGCACAGCTCTTGATTTCTCACAAACACCCTCTGCAAAGCACTTTCTTGGGTGTCCCATTACAAAGCAAGTTGTTGGTGACCGGGTCTGACTCCCCTGAATCTGCAGAGTCAGCTGGCCCTGCTCCTCCTTGCACCACTCGCTGGGTGTCAGAGGCAGCCGTGGCCACACGCTGCTTGGGACTGTGAATGATTTTTGCAGGACAGCAGCAAAAGGGGAGTTTGGTATAATCATAAACACACTGCTAAGACAAATATCTCCCCCGTGTCATAGGTACACACTGCAATGGTTCGGGACATGTAGCTTCTTTGCAACATAATATTTAATTGTATCACATTAACATTCCTGTGCTGTAGTAAAGAGTGCTGGTGTGGCAAGTTTTGAGTTGAGCTCCAGGTTTTGGCTGAGAACCGCTCTACACTGTTAGTGCCATGGTGTGGCTGCTTGCAGTAACTACATTTCCTATATACCTTGCACTGAAAAAGGAATTCAAACCCTCTTGTTTCAGAACAAAAATTTCCAAAATGCAGGCTGCAGCCTGGGAGACGGGAAATTCATGTACCTGGTGGTACAAGGGAGCTCAATTTTTCCCTGCCTACCCTTACTCGGCATGAGGTTGAAGTGTTAACACCAAAGCTAGAAGAGAGGGCAGTGGCAGAAGAAAGGAGGGGGCACAGGGAGGTGCCGGATCTGGGAAATCTCACTGATGAACAACACAGCTGTTGTGTTGATGCTGAGTTTTATTTTATTGTTTTTCCTCCTAGGTGAACATTTCTTAAGAAAATCATTTGCATGAAAAACAAGAGCACTAAGTGAAATGACCAAGGCAGTGCTGCAGATGACTCTTCCTGTACAGACACACAGCTCCACAGGACAGGTCTGAAGTTCTTGGGGAATTCTGGTTGCTCTTGGAGAGGAATATCAGCATCAGCAAGAGTAGCTCATCTCTTCAGCACATGATTGAAGAGGGGTCCACTGGTGCAGAGAATACAAACACATCCTCTCCTTTTTTTTTCCTTGGCTTTAGGAACATCTCACTGTTCCTTTTTGGTGATTGTTATACCTTCATTTCTCTAGCTCAAACTGTGTAATGCAGCAAGCTGGCAGCCCTAGCCTGGCCAACCTTTCTAGAAAAGGCCACATCTGGAAGTGCTTTCCGGCAGCTTTGCAAGATTTTGCTCTCCTTCAGGTATTCCTTACAAGGCATCACTCTGAAATACAGCAGGAAGGGTGAAAGCACGACCAGCCTCTGCTCTGCCAGCACTACAGCAGCAGTTTCTGCGGCACTCCCACTTGCGCCTAGTCCCTGAAGCCTGGCAAACCCTGGGGAGCTCAGCCCACAGCAGCAGATGGAGGCAGGAAGCCTTGGCCCACCACAATGAAGCAGGGGCCTAGAGACAAGAGTGAGCTTCCCTCTGCCCACCCATGCCTCATCCATGGTGAGACGTTTGCTGGCACGCCTTTCGCCAGAACGTGGGGTGAAAGCAGAAGAGCTCCCTCCCAAAATCTGGGCAGCATCCAATTTGAGGCAAAGACAAATGTCACTGACCTTTGCAGCATTCCAAGAGTCCCTTAGCTCCCTTGCACTCATTGGAGAAATTGCTCAAAACCTGTTCTCTTTCCAGTCTCTCCCAAGGGGAAAAAAAAAAATTAGTGTCTATGCAAGTGTATTTGTTCTGTGTGTTCCTTATTTTATATTTCACAAATCAATGCCAACTTTCAGTCATTGAATCCAGACACTCATGTTAACAATGGATGATTATATTTTCCATCTGAATGTTTTCCCACAAGCACAAGCATTAATTCAAAGTATTCTTTTTGCAAGTAGTAGTGTTGCAATGTATACTAAGATGAAATATTTAACTTGTGTAGATGAAACCGTTTTGTTGGAACCAGCAGAGTCACACCAGCTCACACCACCAGAGACCTTGGTCCACAGCTGTTTCCCCACCCCTGAGCAGCCAGGATGCTGTCTCTGAGCCAATAGGATTTATGACCTTTTTAAATAGAAGCGACTTTCTCATGCGCATCGGTAAACTGCTGTGCTATTGGACTGCAAGGAGCTGAGTACTTTTCCACTCTTTTTAGCTATTGCTATCAGAAATCATGGGTTAGTCGATAACCACATTCCTCTGAGATGAGTTTGCCAGTGCGCTGAAGGAGATCTGTTCACACTGGGAGGCATTGTTTCCCAGGCTATTCCAAACAATACAGAAAACACTGTGTTCTCATTTGAGTACTATGAAGAAAAGAGCTCAGTGGAAGGACTTTTAAAGAACTAGCATATGCAACTCTATAAACTATATTCTTTAAATAAAGAAAAACCCTTTATGTTATGCAGAACTGAATCATGATTTGCTCATGGACTGCATCCAGCATCAGAAATATGGATGAGCTTTGGCTGGGCTTTCTAAGCAACAGAAATAAATACTTCACTCCCAGCAGAAGAGGGAAAAAAGAAGAATAATTTAAAAAATCAAACAGAGATAATGCTAACACTTGACTCCCCTTCATTTTCAATAGCAAAACATAATGACAAATTCATTTAAATTGAGTAGGATCAAAATATTTTGGATAAAACCTTGCCCTGACTTAACTCTTGCCCCTTAATACTAAGTCAATGCAGAGCAAGGAGATGTTAATCTGTCTATAGTGAACTGAATCAGTTTTGCCAACCAGGTCAGAGGTAGTATTTCAGGCACTAACTTGGTACTGATGCTTTAAATAGCAGCAGAGCGTATATGCCCTTACATAGCACTTGCTGTGAGGAGCCACTCAAATACACATTGGTTTTCAGGTGGCCCTGCAAACCAGCATTGTCTTGGTGGAAAATGAAGCAGGGCAGGCTCACCTGTTTGTCATTCCAAGCCAGACAGTAAGAAGTGGGTAGACTCTTTGTTGTCCAAATTAGAAATGAATGGGCTACATCTACATGCTCAGTTATACCATTGCTCCAACAAGGGATCTCAGCCTTCAGATCTCTTTCCTGTCATTCAGTATCACTCAGAACATGTACTCGGTTTTGCATTGCTTGTTCTAACCTCACAACTTACCTTCTAAATCTAGCAAATCTCTTTTAGCTTAGAAGTCAGCTGGATCAGGCCAGAAAATGAAGAGCAGGAATTTTTCCAGTAAGAGTTCAACACAGTCCAACAATGAAACAAGTTTTTAGTGAAGAACAGCATAAAGAACATGTGAAAGATAATAATTTTCCATAATGGAAGCTTGAACTGTTTCACATCCATGACTTGAATCCTTCAGAAACAGAACAATTTAAAACCCCAACTACATTTCTGTCCTCTTGTCCCCTTCTCTTCCCCGCCCCCTTACATGCAGACAGCCCCGGAAAAGTCCATAAGAGGTGAATGGACAGATTGTCTTCACTGGACTGCAGTGGGCTTTGCTGCCTAGCCTGACTTGGCCTATCATGTTCCTGCTATTCTTGCGGGGATCTGTGTCCGAAAGAGCAATTCCAAACTGAGATGTGTGCATCACACTCTCTGCCAGGGAAAGTCTCCAGGGTGGATCATGGCCAAAGTTAATGCTGCAGCTTTAAAAAAGCAATTTCGGTTCAGAGAGCTTTTCTCTGTTTTGCTTTAAATCCAGCATATTTTGCAATGAACTACTGTGTGCACCCACAAATATGCTACACTAAGAGGATGAAGTAGAGAAGAAAAAGAAATGTAGCAGTAAAACAGCAGGTCTATTTTAACAGAGCTAAATGTTCCTTGCATATTTCTCCTTGTATGTGTTTTGCAACGGAACCAGGTCTGAGAACAGACTGGAGCATTAATAACAACCAGCATGATGGCTGCTGGAGTCCAAATTACAAGTGGACACAAGCAGTAGCAGATATTGACCAGCAGTCACAACAACATCAATTTTCTTTCCAGACTCATAGTGCTGCTCTAGGAGCTCAGGTAGGCAAAATAGTCTCACACTTGTGGTCATCTACAAATGACAAGAGAAGCACTGAGGGAGAGTGTATCAGCAGTTATCCTAAGTAAGGAGCATTATAAGTTTTCAAACAGAGATTGTTGCTCTAAACCCAACAGAAACTGCAGGGGGGATTTGATTGGGTCCTGTGCCAGAAATAAAATGTCAGTCTAGTTTTTATGTAAAATGGTGTAAGTATTTTTAAAAGGAAAAAAAAAAGTAAAGAAAGAAAAGAAAACCATAACTGAAGAGCAAGAAATAATCTGCTGAAAGCAAAAAATGGTTTACATTTTTCTGAGAGGCTCATTCAAGGTGGAAAGACTAGAAACGTTGGAAAATGTTTAGAGAGTTACTAAATTGATCAAAGCATTTGGCTAGGATAAGGAACTAAAGGATCTGAGTTATTACTTCTTGGAGAAGTGGCTGCTGGGGAGGAGATAGGAAGATAGAAGTGATAGCCAAAGAAAAAAGACTCCTCTTGAATTGTGAGCCTGAAAGGGACCCAGTGCACTTATCCATTCACATTACACTGCTGGGCAAAATGAGATACAGAAGTTAAGCAGCCCGCAAAGCCAGGGCAGGGTCCTTGCAGTGCTCTTGGAGCTGCCATGAGGCAGCTGCTGACAGCAAGCCTGGTGCTTAAAGCCTGGGCCACTTGCCCCACATCACTGCCCCGCTTGGTGACATGCCAAGTCCCTGACCCCACAGAGGGTTTTGGGAGATAAGCTTTTGCAAATCTGTCTGTGACACCTGGAGGTGTTTCCCCTCTAGGCCTTCACTCCTCCCCACTGCCACAGGTTGTTGTCCAGGAGCAGAGCATACTGTGCCTGCAGCATGCCAGCGAAACCGTGGCGTCCTGACCCCAGCTGCAAAAGAGCTGATGTGTGCCTGAGGGAGTAACATACTTTAACCCATTTTAGCTGCTTGTCAAGCAAACATGAGTCAGATCCCTAACATACCAACAGATATTAAATGGCAGCCAGATCCTACTAGCAAATGTGACTTCTGCTTCTCATCAGGGCTGAGCCAAGTGGAGTTGAGCAGCTGCCAAAAGTGCAAGTCCCTGCCCTGCCTCTTATACTGGCTCAATTATTCATGCAGATTGCAAATATGGGAAAGCTATACCCCAAGAAAATTGAAATCACTTAGCTTTTGTTGTTGTGGTTCTGATAGTTTTCTGAGCATTCAATTCCTTGAAGATGTCCAGTGGGAGCATATAGCCAAGAGAAAGACCATCCTGTCAGTGCAGTCTCATGATCAGTTTTCTCTTGGTTACCTAATTCAGCACAAAGAAGAGTTACAAATACAGCTGGCCACACAAACGCCTGCCAACCAAGAAAATTGCAGGTGGGATTAGGGAACACAACCACAGTCTTTGGGGGAAAATATCACTACACCAGGCCATGAGACATATAGAGATCCCTAAGGTGGCCTCAGTCAGTAGCTCAGAAGATGAAGACATACAGGCATCTCCAGAAGGGGAGGAAAAGAAAAAAAAAACATGTTTACTGCTGCCTACACTGGGGAACTATTCTCTACAATACTTCCCTTAGGAACCCAAGGGCAGCCAGTACTGCCAAGAGTGCAACACTTCACGTGTCAGTGGCCACTGAAATGGCAGGGGTGAACCAAGGCAAGAAAGCACAGGCTGAGCTGGAACTCAAGCTGCTGAATTCAAGGTAGGGCCAGGGGAGCACAAACCCTTGCAGCACACAAGGGCAGTGTAAAATAACTGCAGATCATGTCCACACAATCTCATGACAGCCTTGGTAGAGCAATACTGCAGCAGATAAAAAGCTAACGAATTTTTCATATTGAAAGTCATAGCAAATTTTAATCTGAATCAACATCTTTAGGTGATAAGGGACGCTATTCAGAGGATCAAAGTCTCTTCATTTCCTCTTTGCAACACTGACAGATTCAGCTGGCACTTTGCAGTCGCACAGGTGGCTTGACAATGATGAAGTGTTCATCCCAAGCTGACATAGATATGGAATAAGAAAAATATACTGGCAGTCAATGCACAATCTAGACTTATTTATAATGCAAACCAAGATCCTGTTTTCCTTCTTAATCTATACTAAAACTGTTGCTCAGACTAAGGAAGTCTAGCAACTAATGAATCTAAAACCACAGGGGAGGGAAAAAGACTTTAAACAGAATTTGTATTTTGAAGTCTGAACGATATGGTATCTCTAAAACACAAACAGCTTTTTATGCTTTTTTTTATTATTATTTTTAACTCTGCTTTGATTTATGTCCAGGAAAACATATTAGGCCCAAGTTTTGGGCCGGAAGAACTTACAGGACTCTGAACCAAGAAGCTGGAGCACCTCACCAATAGAGGAGCAGTTGAATAGCCCAGACAGGTCTTGACAGCCCAGTCAAAGAGAGGGAGGGGGAGCACATCCTTTATTAGCAACCCTGGAGGACGTTTACCTCACTAACCATCAGCATTGCACTGACTAAACCACAAATGTGCATTCCCTGCACACCCACACGGGCTCCCAGAGCTAACTCATGGCTGGGAGCTGGATTGCTGTGAAACACAGGGTGGACAGGCATGGCACCAGGAGAGAAACCTCTCACCAAAGCACGGCCACCCTCCCAGAGGCATGTCTCCCTCTCTAACTTAAAGCAGGATTTAGGTTCTCATATGTTGTCAGAGAAAAGACTTCTTAGGGGCAAGGTAGCTAGAGAGCTTCCCCTCAGTCTTGCCTGCTTGGGGCACACAGGGCCACAGTGGTGACAGGTACCTCCAGGGAATTTCTTCCTGGGAAGAAGGGAAAAAGCTGTTTTCATATAGTACATCCCACATCCCACACTGCTCTTGTCAGTAACTCATTAAATGGTTATAAGGAGTCAGCTAGATTTGGAACCAATTTTTTAAAAGTGCAAATGTTTTTCTATTACTAAAAGAGAAGAGTTAAATATTTTCAACCACCTGTAATGGTTTGGTAACTCTCCAAGAACTTCCCCCTCATTCCCAGACTGAAAATAAAAAACAGACCCAAAAGATAGTTTAGGCTGCAGTAGAATATGTTGAGCACTTAGTTTCCTAGCCCCCATTAGCCCCAGTGCAGGAGGGTGTTTTCTGCTACTCCAGTACATCAGGAGTCAAAAAAGTCTCATGCATAAGAAAAAGAAAGGCATGCTGGGTTCCCCAAAATGCTGCATTCCAAGGAAAAAATACATTGTTTATTGATCTGAAGGCAATATTTTTGTATTAAATTAGTGTCCTCTCACTCATCAATTTTCTGATATCACACTTTGGTTTTCAGTCACTGCCTGCACCTTGCACAATTATACCTCTGGTTACCTATATTAAATCCACTTTTACATGCTAGTAGACTAGGGGTGATTTTCTTTTCTTTAATGATAGCTTGATATACGGCGTCGTATGGGGGTAGAACTACCAAGCCCTGGTGCCTCCAGAGAACACAGAGGTGGAAAGGACTCACCAAGCCCCTGCTTTTGGTCCTTTCTGCTTTGGAGCTAACCATGGCACATGAATACAGACTGGACCTTGGCAAGTGTCCTTTCATTATTAACAAATTAGCAGCTTTGTAATTCCCTCTTTCCTTTTGTTCTGTGTGCAGACACGCACTTAAGACCCTGGGGACTTAGACTTTTTCATCTTGACAAATCCTTCCTCTTGCTCACCCCAGTTTTCAACAGCACAACGGGGGGCCAATCAGCAAAGCTTCCCAAGGCCTAGCAAACAAATCTACTTAACTCATTTCCAGTTCAGTCCAGATCTTCATGAGGAAATACAAAACAGCCATGGAAAACAACATCTTTCTTCCGCAAGACCTCTAGGCCACTATTGTCAAGCGAAAATGTGCCTCAAATGTGGGCATTCAGAGGCATCTATGCATAGTCTGGCTGCATTCTGGAAAGGTGTCTCTGTCAAGGGCAGCCTCGGTCCCCAACTCATCAGAGTTTCCACCCCTTTTCTTGTCACAGAAGCAGCACCAAGTGGCCAATATGAGACCAAGAGGCAGCCACACAGCCACACCATCGTAGGGGTCACTGGCCCGGCTCTTCCTGCTGCATCCCGGCCTGGCATCGCTTCAGAGGCTTTTGTGCAGAGCAGACAGGGCTGCGGAGACTCCCCCTGAGCCGCCTTCTGAGGGAAGGGATTGTTTGATTTATGAGATAGGAGGAAAAAATAAAGCTCTCTCGTTGTTTGTCATTTGGGATGAAGAGGAAGAAGAGAGTTCTCTTATTTTTGGTAGCTAAAGAGTGTTCACTGCACATTGCTTTCAAAGGGAGGAAAGGAAGTGTGGAGGCTGGGTGCCCAAAGCGCTGTGCTTCAGGCACAGCCCTCTCCCAGAG